TGTGTGACTGTGTGTGTGTGTGTGTGTGACTGTGTGTGTGTGTGTGCGTGTGTGTGTGAGTGAATATGTTGTCATAAAAGCTTCTGCAGATTTCGTTTTTCAAGGAAACGCAACAAAAACACCATTTCCCATCAGCACTCTCGCTCACGCTTGCAGTGACGCAAACACGTCGGTGCGCGGCGCATGCGCAGTGTGGCGTAAGGGGGGACGGGCCGTCGAATGTTTATGCGCGTAATGGCGGCGGGCAGGCTGTGATGAGCCACGGCGAAAAAAACACAGCCAGCGATCCAGCCCTAGGTCAGTTTCAACACCGGCGACACGGAAGAACGCGAAAAAAATGCAGATCACGCTGAAAACCCTCCAGCAGCAGACGTTTAAAATCGACATCGACGCGGAGGAGACGGTGAGAGGCGAGCGCGCTGCTAGCGGCTAACAGCTAACGGATTTCTGTCAGCAGCGTCAACAAAACGCACGAACTCCACACAAACACACTGTAATAATTACTCTGTAACTTAAAATGAACTTTTGAGACTCGTTGCTGTTTGCGCTGTTGACGGTGCTCTGTGAACGGTTTAGCATTAGCACGTTAGCTGCTCATAAAATGAGTTTTCACTTTCGCCAGAACAGCATAAAAGTTGTCTAAATAAGGCAGAAAAGTGATGTAATCACTCCAGAATCACCGTAATCGTAATTTAACCATCGTTGTGACTTTTTAGGCGTGTCAGACGGAGCGTTAGATGGTAATTTGTGTGTTTTAGCAAGTCATGCTGTGCCGTTATAAAGGTTGTAATGTGTGTGTGTGTGTGTGTGAGAGAGTGAGAGAGAGAGAGAGTGTGTGTGTGTGTGAGTGAGAGAGAGTGTGTGTGTGTGTGTGTGTGTGAGAGAGAGAGAGAGAGAGAGTGTGTGTGTGTGAGAGAGAGAGAGAGAGAGAGTGTGTGTGTGTGAGAGAGAGAGAGAGAGAGAGTGTGTGTGTGTGAGAGAGAGAGAGAGAGAGAGTGTGTGTGTGTGAGAGAGAGAGAGAGAGAGAGTGTGTGTGTGTGAGAGAGAGAGAGAGAGAGAGTGTGTGTGTGTGAGAGAGAGAGAGAGAGAGAGTGTGTGTGTGTGAGAGAGAGAGAGAGAGAGAGTGTGTGTGTGTGAGAGAGAGAGAGAGAGAGAGTGTGTGTGTGTGAGAGAGAGAGAGAGAGAGAGTGTGTGTGTGTGAGAGAGAGAGAGAGAGAGAGTGTGTGTGTGTGAGAGAGAGAGAGAGAGAGAGTGTGTGTGTGTGAGAGAGAGAGAGAGAGAGAGTGTGTGTGTGTGAGAGAGAGAGAGAGAGAGAGTGTGTGTGTGTGAGAGAGAGAGAGAGAGAGAGTGTGTGTGTGTGAGAGAGAGAGAGAGAGAGAGTGTGTGTGTGTGAGAGAGAGAGAGAGAGAGAGTGTGTGTGTGTGAGAGAGAGAGAGAGAGAGAGTGTGTGTGTGTGAGAGAGAGAGAGAGAGAGAGTGTGTGTGTGTGAGAGAGAGAGAGAGAGAGAGTGTGTGTGTGTGAGAGAGAGAGAGAGAGAGAGTGTGTGTGTGTGAGAGAGAGAGAGAGAGAGAGTGTGTGTGTGTGAGAGAGAGAGAGAGAGAGAGTGTGTGTGTGTGAGAGAGAGAGAGAGAGAGAGTGTGTGTGTGTGAGAGAGAGAGAGAGAGAGAGTGTGTGTGTGTGAGAGAGAGAGAGAGAGAGAGTGTGTGTGTGTGAGAGAGAGAGAGAGAGAGAGTGTGTGTGTGTGAGAGAGAGAGAGAGAGAGAGTGTGTGTGTGTGAGAGAGAGAGAGAGAGAGAGTGTGTGTGTGTGAGAGAGAGAGAGAGAGAGAGTGTGTGTGTGTGTGAGTGAGAGAGTGTGTGTGTGAGAGAGTGTGTGTGTGTGTGTGTGTGTGTGTGAGGTTTATATGAACACACACGCGTGTGTGTATCTGCTCCGTGTGGTTTCCAGACACTGAAATGACAGAGCTGTGTAATTGAACACACACTGATGGATTCGTATTTATTGTCATGAATTCAGACACTTCATGTCTTCAACAGGCTGCTTTGACGGTGTCTTCTAGATGAAAACTTTACATGTGCAGTTGGTTTAGTTTGGCCTCATGAGAGCATTGATGAAAGTTCATGAAATATCTGCAGCTTTACAATCACTTTGAATGACATTACATTGGTTTAGAAATCTGAGTCGTTGTGTTTAGTCTGTTTCTACTGTTTGCTTCAATCCACAATCATGTGGCGTTATCTCAGTCTGCTGCTTGTCTTTGTGTTTTGCTCCCTGTTATTCAGTTCTGATAACATTCACTCATGTTAGTTTATTAAGGTGGATATTTTGTATATACAAGGGGTCGTTCACCCAAAAATGATTATCTACTCACTGCATTATCTACTCACTTTCAAGTTGTTCCAAAGTTTCTTTTGTCTGTTGAGCACAAAAGAAGATATTTTGAAGAATGTTGGTAACCAAACAGCTTACAGTCTCCATTGACTTCTATAAATTAGTGGGGTTTTCCAGTATGGGGACCAGAAGCTGTTTGTTTACCAGCATTCTTCAAAATATTTTCTTTTGTGTTTAAAGGGGTCATGACATTTATAGACAGAATATGTTGACATGCTTTAATGGTCAAAAAACATTATTTTTCAAATACTGTACATTATTGTAGGTCCTCCTCCATTGACTTCTATAAATTAGTGGGGTTTTCCAGTATGGGGACCAGAAGCTGTTTGTTTACCAGCATTCTTCAAAATATTTTCTTTTGTGTTTAAAGGGGTCATGACATTTATAGACAGAATATGTTGACATGCTTTAATGGTCAAAAAACATTATTTTTCAAATACTGTACATTATTGTAGGTCCTCTATGGCCCGCCTCTCTCAAACGCTTAGTTTTCTACAAAGCCCCTCCTTCCGACAAGCGCAGTCTGCTCTGATTGGCCAGCTGACCCAGTGCACTGTGATTGGCCGAACACCGCAAGCACTCGTCGGAAATGTAACGCCCCTTACCATAATCGCGAGCGTCAGCTTTCAAAGTAAATATCAAGACAGTTAATAATGTGGTTAGTTTTACCATCAGTTCAAGCCCAAAAGGGCAACAGAGTCGCGTGACAGACACAGTGCTGCTGCAGTACACAAGCCACGGTTAAGACAGCTGACGTGCTATGATTTCTGACAGACAGTTCACTCTCCTGTGATGTGCCCCTGTTCCCCTCACACACACTCACACTCACACTCACTCACTCACGCACACACACACTCACACACACACTCACTCACACACACACGCACACACTCACACTCACTCACACACACATGCACACACACTCACACACACACACACACACACACACTCTCACACACACACACACACACACA